TTAGCAGCCCAACTCATAACCACTACACCACCAGTGACTTTCCCTTCTACTAGTTGTTGGTGATCGGTGCCATCCAGTTGGTTCCGACCCATAGTGAGTGGCCCTATGCACAACAGAATGAAACACTGCCCAGTGCGGGCCATTCTCACAGTTGTTCCTGCTAGTGGACACTCCTTAACTACCCAACATGTGTTGGTGATAGGTATCACCGGAAAAGGATTCTCTAATCAAGACCTTTGGGAAATTAGAACCAAACAGCTTTTGTACTAGGAAACAGGGTTTCTATAAGGAAATTGTAGGGGTAGTGGGGTAGAGTTTGTACTTTTGATCTATAAGATCCTTCTGGCTCCGAGTTCATCAGATTATCTGTACCAGTGAAAAATACCTGTTTTCAGTGAAGATTTCGGGAATTAAACGAGGGCTCTGGGAGGAGGGGCTGAAGTTCAGACGGTTTTCAAAATCTAAAACATGCCACTAGGAGGCAGTGTTGACATACAGTTGAGTTCAAGAACATTGCCAGTTGATTTCATTTTGTGGGAAATATTTCTTGAGTCGAAGGATCCAAAACCTAACTCACTGCCATGCAGTCGATGAGACTCATAGGGACCCTGCAGGGCTGGGCAGAACTGTCCCTGTGGATCTCTGAGACTGTTAACTCTTTGCGGGAGTAGAAAAAAGTCTCTGTTACACTTTGTGTAATGAACAGGTTCTGAAAGTATTCATTAAAGATACATGTATCTTAGGCAGCAAAAGAGCAGTAAATCCCGTATGAATAAAATATGTGAGGTTAAAGTTGGTTTGAGAATACAAGAGAAATGGTAGATAAAAACCTTTGTACAGAAAATTCTCTGTACAACATTGATTTCACCTCAGCCATACACAGCTTCTGAGAGTTGTGATTTTTGGGTTCGAAGTCTTTGCACTGGGGGGTGGGGGCAGTGAGGGCTGTATTATAGATTCTCTGGGTTAACCCCCCCCTCACCCCCAAATAACTAAAACCAACTCTCTGAAAATGTCCTTTACCCTTTAAATACTGCTACCTCCTCCTTTGAAATCCCAGAATTTGTAAACTGCAAAGGTACTATTACTACTTAATAGATAGAAAAATTAAGATAGCTTCCTACAGAATTCAATAAACTATAAAGCCCAAGAACCAAATGCAACCAAGATTATCTTTTTCTTAGTCTCAGTTTTTTGTTTTAAATAGCTAAAAAGAAATGACAATTTTAGAAGGGTCAGACCAATTCAGGCTGTTCTATAAAACAGCCCATGAATTTTTCTCTAGGGGCAGTCATGTTTATTTTAATAATCATGCATTTTCTGGGTTGAGTTCTCCTAGGAAAGTAGATATTAAATGACCAGTTTGAAAACATTACAGTGGTCAGTGTAAGAAACAGTTCTCAGTGTAAGCGTTGGGAAATTTCTTCGATTTTTTTAATTATAATTTTTAAAGCTATCGAAGCAACCCAAGCTCATTGTTCTTCAGCCTCAATGGCGTGAGGCAGTTGGACAGTCAGCCCAGTCTTGAGCAGGATGGACAGGGTGTGAATACGACCACGTGGGTCTATGTTTCTTAAAGGTACAAGTAAGGCAGAAAGGGAAGGGGCCCTAAGCGCAGACGCACAACTTAGGGGTCTGAATACTGATTGGTTCCTTATGAATTTGATCATCTTTTAAGAAGACATTTCAAGGTGTAGGAACATCCCCATGTCTGAAGTGGAATGTTTTTACACAGTGGGGCAAATTCAATTCAATCAATGAATGAGTCATAAAATCATTTTGAAAGGGCTCAACCAGCATTGTTTTTTAATCAATGAAGTAGAGAACAGAAAGGAACAGCCATGTCCCAAGTGGATCACACATTCTCATCTGCACGCTATGTGTCTCCCTGGGTCATTAGGGAAATCGTGTGTGTGTGCGTTGTTGTTCATGCGTTTGGACGCCACTTTTCTACAGCACGTTATCTGTCCCCCTGGCTGCCAAGTCGTTTATGACACAATTCAGGCCTCATCTTCTTTATAAGCCCGGGAACTTCTCCACGCAGGGCTAACGCCTGAATGCCCCTGCCTGGCCACGTGGTCTTCATCCTGCCGTGGATGTGGCGATTGCTAGGGGAACCTATGTCAGACTGACTTCCTGGTAGACTTCTGAAGCATTCCTTTAAAATCTATCATCAAGTACTACTGGCACTTCTATTTCCTTCCTCTAAGACCAATTTAGTGTGTAGTCTGGCATCTATGCATGGATTGCTTTTTAAGCCTCTTTTCCTGATTCTCAGGGACTGGTGGCCCACACAGAGGAATTCACCACCAACAGCTCCCCCCCATGAGGCTACTGCGCAGACTTGAATTTCTGTTTCTCAAAGAGCTCCTTCAGCTGCTGGTCGGTGGTGGCTTCTTTCTGCTGCATCAGCTCGGTGGTCCCTTTGGTCACTCCCCAGGCGTCAGGCTTCGACATTGACGGGTTGTAAGGCCGACCGGACGCTATCTGGAGGTTCTCCCAGTATTGCCTCCTGGCCCTGCATGAACAAAGCACACCAACATCAGACACCTGCCCCAGTTCTGGTCTCTCGACCACTGAGTCAGAATCATACAGGCAGGAGAGCCAGCGTTGGATGCTGAGAGGAGGGTGACCACGGAAACATGCTCATTCACTTGGACAACGGATGCTTAGCCTCCAGAGTCAACTGCAGGTCTAAAAGGACTTTGAATCTCCTTGTCAAGTTTGCGTGCATAGGGTTCAAGAACTGAGAATGTAAAACCTTTTGGCACTCGATCTCAGAAACTGGCTCTGAGTCTGTATTTGTGGCGCTTCTCCAAACCCAACCTATATGCACCCCTGGCTCAGGGCTCAGTGTCGTCTGATTTTTATTTTCATTGCTTCACACACACACACACACACACCCCACACAATTTAGTGCCATCAAGTCGATGCTGACTCATAGTGACCCCATCGGACAGGGTAGTACTGCCCCTGTGAGTTTAGGAGACTGCAGCTTGTTGTGGGAGTAGAGAACCCAGTCTTTCCCCTGAAGAGCAGCTGGTGCTCTCGAGCTGCCGACCTTGCGGATCGTGCAGTCCAAAGTGTAACTGGCAGGCTCCTGGCCTCCCACTAGGTCAGGCTTTATGCTGGCAATGACTACGTCATACGTTGCTCTGCCTCGAGGCTCTTAAAATGTGCTTCTTTGCAAACCTAACTTTGCTCTCCTGGGGAAGACCCGCCAGACGCCTTGATGCCTTTGGGATGAAGTCATCAACAAGGCTAATAGGACTCTTTCCACTCCAGGAGTTTGCTTTCTATTAAATGCTGTCTCCAACATTCTGAAATGTTTAGTTTCTTGAAACACCACCCTCTGTCACCTCTGAGCGCTTTCCTGCGGGCCGTTGCCCTGTGTGGCTCATTTGGGTGACCCTTCAAAGTTCTGCTCAGGCTGCAGCTTTCTTAGGGTCTTCCTCCTTTCACGGCACACCAGCTGTGCCAACTAATGTCGATGCATGTCTGCCCAGGAAACAAAGCTTCACCATTTATCCTCCCACGTTAGGCCTCCATTTATGGGATCCCTACAGCCACGTTGCAACCAGGCTGAAAGGCCACTTCTACAGTGTCTGAAGCAGCACAATCATGGTCTTCCACTTCATTCCTGCCACTTTATCCAGGCCTCTTCAAAGCGACCACTGCATTATAATTCCTTGGCTTCCCCAGGAGACTGCCATTCCTCAAGCCCAGGTCCACAGCTGCTCATGCCTATCTGCCTACCACCATGCACAGTACCTGGCATATGCTTTTTACACGATTTCTCTCTCATTTGAATATACGCTCTACTGTACTCACTGCTGCATGCTCGGCTCTGAGAAGCATGCTGGGCACTGACCAGGCACCGACCTCATATTTATTAAGTTAGGCTTTTTTTTTTTTCCTTGACAGTCAATGGCATTCCGTGTCATCACCCACCACATGAATGTGCCTCTGTGATGGCATGGAATTGTATTTCATCGTCGCATTATTTACATTCTTTTATTCTTAAAGCCTTTCTCTAGTGATGACTCTGTAAGCATGTTTGATCAACATCTCTATGGGAAAATTTAAGGAGGCTAAGTAATTCCTCTCTATCACATAGCAAATGAGCTGTATATTTTGGAATGGCCTCCCTTGGACATATTCACAGTCTACATGAGTTTGGGTAAGGAAGGCTACTTACCTCGCTCTAATCCAGGGTTTGGTGTGCATGTCCAAACCACTTCCCCAGCTGCCGTGTTTTTCTGAAGCTGGGGGCAGAAATCCCCTTTCTGGGGCCAGCTCCTCTGCGATGGCTCTGATGTGGTAGGGCTCAAATCCACAGCAACCGCCAATGAACCTGACCCCCAGCTTGTAGGCCTCTCTGGCGTACTTTTGAATATCCCACCTGGTTGCCACTCTGGGTTCAAGTCCTGTAATAAAATGGGATTGTCCCTGAAGCTGTTTTTTCTGACTATATTAAACATAGAGCAAAAATAAGAGTGCAATTTTAAATGAATGGATTGAATCGGTTTTCGATATTTAAGTCTTGCTCACTTTTAAATACTGAGCTACTTTATGTGGATACATGGCAAAAGGGAGGTATCTGACCCCCGAAACTGGGTCATAGGCGATACCATCGTTTCTGGCGTGCTTGCTCTTGAAATACTCGGGGGGCAGCCATCTGCTCTGTTGCGAGAGCAGCCCACCACCAATAGGGAAAGGTTGTGTGATGAGAAGAAACTGGGGCCTTCCGGCCCACGACCAGCCAGAAAGACCCCGACCACCAGCAGTTCCACTAGCACCCAGCGAGCCTTCCACAGATGACTGCAGACCCAGCGAGTTTGGGTTGGTAGCTCTTGAGAACTGAGCCCAAACCACCCCAAATAAGCTGTTCCTAAACGCTTGACCCACTAAGTTTTGTCGTAATTTGTTATGCACAATAGATAACACAAGTGTCTTGCTAGTCTTCCCCTGTGTTCATCTAGAATATCATGGGATGGTTTGACTTTTTCAAGAGTTCCTGTAGGGTGGATGTACGGAGACCTTCGAATGGTCCAGGAGGCTACCCACACTCTGCTGACTCCAGTGTCGGCTGACCTCCCTGGCCTGATTTTCCAAGTTAGTCTCATTTCAGTTTCCTAACACGCTGAAAAATGCTTGCCTCCCCCTGGAGTGCAATCCCCGCCCCCCTGACGTCATTGGCTCAGACCCTTTGCACGTTTGTCTCTCAGTAACCAATGGCGGCACCTTCTTCCCCGCCTCTGAACGCAGCAAGACTATCTGAGACAAAGTGAAACAGTAGGAAAGGTCCTTGGAGATAATCTCGCCTAATGCTCCCTCTCCTTTCTAATTTTTTTCAATAAAAAATGAAGATCCAGAGATTTTTTTCCTAAGGGCACATAACTTAGCAACGTTCTTGGAACCCCAACTCCAAGTTCTGCTGATTGTACCCAGGAAAGCATCCTTTTGACCATCCTGTCTATGACTTGTCTGTCTAGAGGTGGCAGTTCAGAGGGCTTCTCTGCTGGCTGAGCCCCTCGTTTCCCTCCCTCTGCTGCCTGACATCAAGGTTGGGGCAGGGGGAGAAACAGGCGTTTCAGGAGCTAGGCAGCCATTTCCTTACAATCACAAAAGCTCTCGGTCTCTGGGTGCATTTGTCAAAGATAAAGAGACTGAGAGTACTGATAAGGCCGTCTTACCAAAGGGGAATTCTGGGAGATCAATAAATCCCTGCTTGCCGCAGTCAGGAGTGTGGTAGGCCAAGGGCTGGGCCATCAGGTGGGCTTTCAATCGGGCAGCCTCCAAGCCTTCTTTCATGAGTTTCACTGTTTGTAAACTGATGGTGGGGTCAAAGTGGCAGTTCACACCAACGATGGAAGCTCCTGCAAACGGAAAGAACATTGTGCCTTTAGAGAGTCACCAAGCACTAGGTAGGTCCAACGCTCCCTTCTTCATTGGGAAGCTTTTATTGGGAGCCAGGCGTTGGCGCTAATCATTGTCGATAAACCTGGACCTCAGGCCAGGGTGCAGAGTGCTTTCTTTGGAAAGTGCCTTGAAGAGGCTGGCATATAATGAAATGTCACTTCTGCACACTTGGCTGCTTACCTTTTAGAAAAAATAAAATAAAAATCATGATCAGGGTGGTGTGTTTTTTATTTTTAGCTTTGAATTTTAGTAGTCGATTCTTCCGAGTTTGACGTCCGGTCACAGTCATTTTTTAGTACTTCCAGCTGCAAGATTGCACCTGCGGTTATCACACTACCAGTTTACGGTAACAATCAGTGCTCCCCTGTCATCAGACCAGCTTGATAACCTCCCCCCCCTTCTTGTGCCCGGCAGACTCGCGTTCAGGAAAAGGTTGTCCAGAGACCTGTTTCTTCGAGGGGATTTTGTATCCAAGATCAGTCATTTCGGGAGAGAAAAATCTCAAAAAACTTTTGACTTCAGCTACTCAGATTAGTTAATAGCCTATCAATCGTTTTGACAGGTTTTTCATTGAAATTTAGCTTCCCAACTGTAATGGACAGTCTTCTCCGAGCCTTCTTGTAAAATCTGTCACTTGGAAATTTAGTCAGTGAGAAGAAAACATGTTTTAGATGTCTCGGCATGTTTGTTTTTTTTAACCCCCTGAAACTTTCTTCATAGTCATTATCGTCTTAATTATATTTGGACCAAAGATGATTGATCACAGCAATCATTGCTCATGATTTTGGGAGATTTGTGCAAGCAACATGACCTTCTTTTCCTCAGTCCTCTCCAGATGGGAGAAGTTTCCAAATAGGACTTACTCCCGAGGGACCTAGGGCCTACAACTTTGTATCTGGGATCTAGAAGTACAGAGATCGAGGGCAGGAGAGATTCGTTCCGTGGTGGCCAGAGTGACACCATTCTCCAGATTCCGGGAGCAGCAGGGCTGACTGGGGAGGAAGGTGCTGGCACGAGTGCTCAGTGGCGGCAGCCACTCAGGGTCCTCTCAGCTGGACCTACAGTTTGCTCCTCATCTTGGTTTCAGTCAAGTCTTACTGGCTACCATGTTTCCGAATTGGGTTTCCATGTAATTGCTTGCAGTCCTCACCCTGTAAACACCACTTATTCTACTTATTGCTCCTTATGTTTCCTGTCCATCCCCCTCCTTTCCTAACTGTTCTGAATCCTGTCCTTTGGTAAATGCTTTTGATCTCAAGTGGTTGATTCTTCTGAGGTCAGCCACCTCTCCAGTGTCCCTATTCCCCTGAGAGACCGATCTATCGTTAGGCGGAGAGATTGAACAATGGCGGAAGGCTGTGCATCTCCACAGAAGCCGAAGCCAATGGCCACATCTGTCCATCCCCCTGGAGGGTTTGAACCACCGACTTTTCGATTAGCAGCCGAATGCCTAACCACTGTGTCACAGGCCTCCTCGGGAAACTGTGTATAGCGATTTGACTCCGTCATGTTGTAGGTGCTCTATGAATTGGAAGAGATGTGGCCCACAATGATGTGCTAGGTACAGGGTCAAAGAAGCCTATCATAGCCTGGGTTCCAGCTCACAGCAACCCTACAGGACAGAGCAGAACGGCCCCTGTGCAGCTCTTCACGGGAGTGCAGTCTCATCTTTCTCCTGAGGAGCAGGTGATGGCTTCA